TAACTGTACCTGAACACAGCACAGACACAAACATGTAACTGTACCTGAACGCACCACAGACACAAACATGTAACTGTACCTGAACACAGCACAGACACAAACATGTAACTGTACCTGAACGCACCACAGACACAAACATGTAACTGTACCTGAACGCAGCACAGACACAAACATGTAACTGCACCTGAACACCTGAACGCAGCACAGACTGAAACACGTAACTGCACCTGAATGCAGCACAGACTGAAACATGTAACTGCACCTGAATGCAGCACAGACTGAAACATGTAACTGCACCTGAATGCAGCACAGACTGAAGCATGTAACTGCACCCGAACGCAGCACAGACTGAAACATGTAACTGCACCTGAACGCACCACAGACAAACTTGTAACTGTACCTGAACGCACCACAGACACAAACTTGTAACTGTACCTGAACGCACCACAGACACAAACATGTAACTGCACCTGAACGCACCACAGACACAAACGTGTAACTGCACCTGAACACAGCACAGACACAAACTTGTAACTGTACCTGAATGCACCACAGACACAAACTTGTAACTGTACCTGAATGCACCACAGACACAAACATGTAACTGCACCTGAACGCAGCACAGACTGAAACACGTAACTGCACCTGAATGCAGCACAGACTGAAACATGTAACTGCACCTGAACGCACCACAGACACAAACTTGTAACTGCACCCGAACGCACCACAGACACAAACTTGTAACTGTACCTGAACGCACCACAGACACAAACATGTAACTGCACCTGAACGCAGCACAAACACAAACATGTAACTGCACCTGAACGCACCACAGACACAAACTTGTAACTGCACCTGAACGCACCACAGACACAAACATGTAACTGCACCTGAACGCAGCACAGACTGAAACATGTAACTGCACCTGAACGCAGCACAGACTGAAACATGTAACTGTACCTGAACGCACCACAGACACAAACATGTAACTGCACCTGAACGCAGCACAGACACAAACACGTAACTGTACCTGAACGCACCACAGACACAAACATGTAACTGCACCTGAACGCAGCACAGACTGAAACATGTAACTGCACCTGAACGCAGCACAGACTGAAACATGTAACTGCACCTGAACGCAGCACAAACTGAAACACTTGAATCAATAAGTTTATAAGTTTAAAGTTTTTATCCGTCTTACCGGAGCTGCTGGTGGTCTCGTCCTTCTTGTCTTCGTCGTTGTCCCTCTCGTCCTCTTTGCTTCCCTCGCGGTCGCTGTCGGTGTCTTTGGTTTCCGAGGAGACGGTCGGGGTGCYGGGGCGGCTGTTGCTGTTGCTGTTGGGCTGCCGCCCGCGGCGTCGCCCCACCGGGCGCTTGGAGGGAGTCTTGGGCCGCTCRGCACCGCCGCCTGCAGGGAAGTCCCTCACCATCCCCTCCTGAGACAAGAAGACAACGTCCAACAACTTGTCTCCACCAGGCCAGGACAAACAGACTCAGAGGTTCTGAAGGACTCACCTGAACCAGGTACATGTAGCAGTCCAGACCACAGGGTTTGGTGTCCACCAGGTTCTCCAGGTTCTTCCTCTTGTAGGTGTTTGGAGTGGCGTGGAAGGCTGAGGGAAGAAAGCTCCTGTTACAACCAGCTTTGGCATTAGCATTAGCATGATGAAGAACCTCCAGCTGTCAGGGTCAGGTGTGTGTGTGTGTGTGTGTGTGTGTGTGTGTACTAACGGTGCAGGAAGCAGTCGTATTTGAAGCAGCGCCTGCAGAACAGCGTGTGGAAGGAGTGCAGGCTCTGCTCGCGCTGCACGGAGCGAGCGTTGGGACCGTCGATGTTGGGCGTGCACTCAGGAGGCAGAGCGCCCGGCAGCTGCTGCTCCGTCAGCTCCTTGTACCTGAAAGAGTCGAATCATCAGAACCTCTCCTGACCTGGTGGCTTAAAAAACAAACACTTTATTTATTTACTAACAAAAACATAAAATCTGACTTTTTAAGTTGRTTTTAGAACAGAAACAAATATCAGGAAATATTACTGTAATTAATATTACACAGAATAAAAACATTTTAACAGATTTTATATTAAAATATCTCAGACTTAGAGCTGCGTTAACTGTGTAGATCTGTTGTCATCACAACAAACAAACAAACAAACAAACACACAGAGCACTAACTTCTCCTTCAGCTCCTCAGTGGAACCTTTGTCAGGAAACATGGAGGAGATCGCCTCAAAGATCTTATCAGAAGGAAACTTTTTACTGGAGTCACTGCTGCTCCGTCCTGCAGAGAGACACACACACACACACACACACACACACACACACACAC